CCCAGCGGCTCCCCCTCGCCCCTCACCCTGCGCCAGGCGCCGCCGACCGACCCGGAAGCGCCCGGGGAGCGGCCGCAGCGGGGCGGGGAGAGCAGGGAGGAGGAGGAGGAGAAAAAAAAGGAGGAGGAGGAGGCGCCTTCCTCTTCCGGGCCGTGCCCTTGCCCGCCCGTGCTGTGGCGATGTTGGCGGCGGCGTTGCGGGGCCTGGCGCGGCGCTGCCCTCCGCGGGGCGCAGCGGCCCCGGGGGTGGTGGTGGGGCAGGCGCGGCCGGCGGGGGGCTCCGCCGCGGAGACTCGGCGTAAGTCGGTGGGAGGGGGGCGCTGAGCGCCGGCAGGGGGCGAGGGGTCGCCCCCAGGCGAAAGCTCGGTTGTGTTTGTGAAGCAGCGGGGCCGTTCTGTTGTGTTGGCAGCGGGTGGGTTCGGTTACCCGGCCGCGGCAGCCCCTCGCTTCCATCTTGTTCCCCTCCCCGCCGTGCCGCTGGAGCATGCCAAAACTGGGATATCTGTGTTGGAAAGGCCTTTTGGGGTCACCCAGTTGTTAGATGATCTGCTGAGTCCTGCTCCAAACCATGTCCCCGAGCACCACCACGTCCACATCTCGCTTAATACCTCCAAGGACAGGGGCTCCACCTCGCTGGGTGCCCTGTCCCAGCACCTGCCCACCCTTTCTGTGGAGAAATTCTTCCCGAAATCCAATCTAAACCTCTCCTGGGGCACCTTGAGGCCATTTCCGTGTCCTGTCAGTTGTCACCTGCTCTCCACAAGCTGCTTTCAGGTACTTGTGGAGATGACGAGCTCTCCCCTCTGCCTCCTGTTCTCCAGGTATAGCAATAGGCCAGTCGCTGTGATATGCCCTCTGTTCGTCTACGCATGTGTGGTTTGTTTAGCTTGGATTTACCAGAAGAAAGCTTTGTGGGTTACTTGAATCCTCCTGTCTTCTGCAGAAGTTACCGAGAGACAGTTAGAGTGATTAAAGGGATTTTTAAGCACGGGATGGGAGTTACTGCTTTTCCTGTTGCTCTCTTTAGCTACCGTCAGACCAAAAAATGAAGTAGAACAGAAGCAGCTCTGTGCGTTTGGGGAGTACGTGGCTGAGATCCTGCCCAAGTATATCCAGCAAGCACAGGTAAGTGCTGTTTAAGAAATTCTTCGTGCTGGGAGGTGACTGCAACCCATAAACTCACTACTTCTTATTAGATGTTGTTATGAGGACGAAAGATTGTCAGAATTACGTGAAAATTAGGGCTGTTATTGAGCCCTGTTCTCTGATGTCATCACGTCTGCTGTACCATATGCTTTCTTTGTATATGTGTCCTGCCGGATTCAGTGCAACGTTGAGTCCTGTTAGTGTCAGTGCTAGTTCCCCTTCTGTTGTTTTCATCAGGTGACCTGCTTCAACGAGCTGGAGCTTTTGATCCATCCAGATGGGATTATTCCAGTTCTGACCTTCCTTCGGGATCACACCAATGCCCAGTTCAAATCCTTGGCTGACTTGACTGCTGTTGATGTCCCATCTCGGCAGTACCGCTTTGAGGTAAGAACCGCTCACAGCTGCCGGACTTGGAGAGCTCCACACCTGCTGATGGCTGTGGATGCTGTTGCAGCTCTGACTGCATTTTTTTGCTTTCTGACAGTTGGAAAAAAATCCACTCTGAAGTGTTGGGTTTGTTTAACCTGTTGATCCTGGGAGCAGTAGCAGAACTAATACTACATGGGTTCCTAGCTTTCCTTTTGTATTCTGCTGAAAGTCTTTCTTCCCCCCTCCCCTTGGAGGGAGGTGGTTGTTTGTTTTGTTTGTTTGTTTATTATTCTTTTGTTTGTTTGTTTGTTTTGCTTTGATTTCATTAAAGTGTCTAGAGACTTTTTTTCTGGCCAAGTAGGAACTGGTGCGCTTCCTTCTTCTACCTAGGTCTGTCAGCTGCTGTGGACGCAGTCAGTCATGTTTTTCTTTAAATTCCACCAGTTTTCTCCTTAACAATTTTCCTCTTCTTCTAAAAAAGAAAAATCTTTAGTAGTTTTAAAAACATCTTCTGAAAGTCAGGATCTATTTGAAGGACATTAGATGCTCATTGTATTGTCTTCTCACCTACTACTAGAAAGCCTTGTTCACAGTATTATTGCAAAGACATTGTTGTAGTTCAGCCTAGGAAAATCTTGTAACAGAAAAAAATACGTGGAGTTCACAGGTTGCAGGAGGCTGACTGTGGTTTAGGCAACTTTATTGATGAAGAGATGTCCTTCTTTCCTTGTCCAATTTGGGCAGATCATCTTTCAGACGTGAGAAGTGAACTGGTTTTGTTCCCAGCAAGTTAGAAAGATTATGAAAAGTAGCTGATATATTTTCCCCTTTTGGTTTATCTTGTGGTATCAAATCACTTACCAATGGAGTCACTGGATACTGGGGGTAATTAATAGTCATTTTCTTTAAGACAGACTATCGTCATGCGTCTTCATCCCATCAGTATTCTCCTTTTTAAGATTTAGTCTAAATCTTTAGTTCAGCTCCTCATCAGTGATGTTCTCTACGTCCCACATCCTTTTTGTTACTCTTGAATGAAGAAGAACTATCAGAGCCTCAGTTACGGTGATTTTTCATGCCCAGCTCTTAGGTGCTGCCTGTGACTTTGCTGAGAAGGAATATTTGAAATATGCTTCATGCATCTTTGCTCAGCCAGTACTGTACTGTGAACAGATCTCTATAAAGTCCTATGCATGGCCAATGCCTTCTTTTATCCTACTGCAGATTGTTTACAATCTCCTGTCTCTGCGGTTCAACAGTCGGATCCGTGTGAAGACATACACTGATGAGCTGACACCTATCGATTCAGCAGTGTCTGTGCACAAGGCAGCAAACTGGTATGAAAGGGAGGTGAGTGCCATTTTATTTGGGAGCAGAGTCTCTGTTGGGTGGGGCTGCATTTTCCTAAAAAAAAAAAAAAATGTCATTATCTAAGACCCTGAGAAAGGGGGAGGTGTTTCACTGGCTGTCTTTTCCGAATAGGAGAAAAACACTGTTTAATTTACTTTTAAATTAATTTGCTTTTAAATTAATTCCTGCATGGAACACTGGCACTGCACAAAGCTGGGCGTGGAACTGAAATTCTGTGGACATAGTACACAAAGGGGACTTTTTTCAAAGTAAGAGGAGCCTTACCTCTAGCAGTGTGTTTTCAAACAAACAAAGAAAGAGAAGTCCTTTGTTTTCTTGGTTGGAGTGGCCTTTCTGTATGAGGTGGGGAAGCATGGAGGTGCTGGAAAGCTTAAGATGGTAATTGACTATCTAATTCAATTTATTTGGCTCCCTTTCATTTAGGTTTGGGACATGTATGGTGTCTTCTTTGCCAACCACCCTGATCTAAGGCGAATCCTCACAGACTATGGGTTTGAAGGCCATCCTTTCCGGAAAGACTTCCCGCTCTCCGGTTATGTGGAGGTAGGAGATACACTTGTGTCTAAAGTGATGAAATTTCTGTTATACTCTTTTCTGAGTTTCAGTACAGAGATGTGAATGCCTTGTAGTCCTTTATCTAAAAGGGGTATAAAGACTTGTGTGTATTCCAGTGCGTATGCATCTCCAGCATTTCAAGTCATCACAAAGTATTATCTATAATAAGGCAGCCTAAGGCCAGCAACACTGAGCAAATTTCATGAGACGTATGCCAAAGGCAGAGAAAGTGCTTCTGCTTTTTTGTTTTTCATCTGAAACGTTAAACTTTCCACTGCAAAACTGGAGATTTCCATTGGAATGAATGACTGGACTGATCTTTATACAGTTGGAATTTTACTTTGTGGAGTTTTTGTAGGCCCAGATAAATGACAAGTCAGTTCAAATAGAGTTTTGTTATCAAATGTTTACCTCTGTGTGGTAAACCACATGTGAAATGAGTGTATTTGGTATCTGCCTAGTTTCAAATGACTGCCTTGCAGAAGCATTCATATTTGGTGTAGTTCTAAGACTGAGCTGAATCTCAGGAGAAGATAAAGAAGTTCTGTAGGCAACAGAGGGTTTTAAGAAAATAGAAATTGTGGAATCCTGTAAGCGAGGACTAGGCAACAGGTTTGGAAATTGGAACTGACACAACGATGGTAAATTAAGCCGATCTGGTACTCAACTACTCTTCACCTATGTTCTGAATGTTACGCTAGGAAGCAAAACTGAAACCAAACAAGCTGTCCTAATGGGCATTAATAAATATACATGAGTAGTCCCCAGCTCTGCCAGGTGGATGGACCACCTTATCGCAGTGACTCAGGAGAACTTCCTTTGTCGTATGACGAAGGAAATCTGTTATTCCAAGTAGACTTCATGTGGGCTGTAGGCTGGGCTCTCCTAATTCAAGTTGGTTAGCCAGGACATGGGGGGTGCTTGGTAGCAAAGAGGAGGAGTTTTTGGAGAGTACAGAGGTCTTGATGGCATCTGGAGGGCTCTTGTTCAAGAATGAGGAGCACTGAAGCTGTGGCAGAGACCCGAGCCCTATCCATGGCATAAGAACTGGGGTTACTCGTATTGGAGGGTGGTCTGGGTCATTACTGTGTACATCCACTAATGGAGGGAGCATGAGGGCTGTATGAAAATGACCGGCCTGTGTCCTTTGCACTGTTCTAGGTGCGGTATGATGATGAAGTGAAACGGGTAGTGGCAGAACCTGTGGAGCTATCTCAGGAATTTCGCAAGTTTGATCTGAATAGTCCTTGGGAGACATTTCCTGCCTATCGTGCAGCTCCAGAACCCCTGAAAATAGAAGCAGGAGCTAAGAAAGAAGATGCAAAGTAACATCAGAATGGAGCAGGTGCACAGCACTATCCTTTCTGTTCTAACATAGTATTTATGATAATAAAAATTGATGTGAGATTCATGTCTGTCGTGGTCACATGAGTGATGTTGTTTTCAAACTAGATGAAAAGCACAGGATGAGGGATGTTAATTTACAGTCCTGATAGTCCAACTGGCAGGTGTTTATCTGCTGTTTTGAACTGTAAGACATGGATTTGTCTTTTTGGCTTGGAAATTGAATGGAGTCCAGGCATTCCCTATGGCTGAGATGCTGTAGATACACAGCTTCTGCTAGCTGCCCCTGTAGACATAAGTCATAGCCTGAGCACTCACTCATGCAGACTCCAGGAGACTTCTGAAACAGCTGTGTGGCGTAAGTAATGGGAGAGCAGGATCTCAGCTCCAAGATGGGAAGATCATCATAATGTAGCATAACACACGTAGCTTTTGTAAATGGTTCTCAAACAGCTGTTAGTAGAACAACACAAGAAGTACCTGGATCCACACCAAATCGATTGTGGAAATGTCTGCATTGTTTCTTTGGGAGCTAGGTCTGGCTGTTCTGCTGGCAGAAGGGGTTGCAGGTAACCTCTTACATGCTACTTCGTGCCAGGCTTTTTCTTCACAATTTAGCAGTCTTTAGTTTCTCCAACTTGCTTTTTCCTGCAGTCAAAAATATCTCCTTTTCTCTCCCCTCCCTTGTGCCATAGACGAGAGTCCATGCCTTTTTGTCACTATTCCAGTTACTCTGAGCTCTATGATATAATAGCATTACCACTATCTTTGCTCTTGTGGAAAATCTCATCTCTCCAAAAAAAGTGGAGAAATATTGTAGTTTGAGTCCACCCACCAGCTGTTTGAATGAGATTACATTACAGCAGTCATCAATTAATAATGTCCCTTGTTCTTAGTCCAAAAAATGCATAATGCAGTTCTTCATCAGAAAGCTGACTGACCTCCTTAAAATCTGAAAACTGTTGTATTAGAGAATTTATAAAATAATTCAGAAGAGTTTGTAGAGACTACCCAAATCATCCCAGTGCTATTTAAGGCTCTTTAAATTGTAAGATCACTAAATAAGAAGAATCAGGGGTGGTCAGAATATGAGATAGAGGAAGAAATAGAACAATAATAAATTCAGTTAAGGGAAAAAAAAAAAAGGACAGTTAATCATTGTGACTAGAATCTGATCTGTTTGCAAGAATAAAGAGCTGAACCGTATGGTAAGAATCAGGTTTCATGTTTGAATCAGGTTTCATGTTTGTTTTTACTCTAGACTTGTAAGCATGGACTCAAATTCTTTATTTTTTTCCTTAATTTGTTTCAGGCTGCTATGGCCAGCAGTGTTTGGGATGTGACTCAGAACAGCCTTCTCTAGTTAAAACTGATAGCATTTGTCACTTTCCTTAAAAAGTACAGCTCTTGTGGGAAGAAGAAAGGAGAAGGGAACACAGGAAATCAGGAGAAGTTTGGGGTTCTACACGATTCCTAGCTCCCCTTATGGTCTGCTATTAATTTGATTGATTAAAAGGAAATGTACTTTTAGTCATTCCCACATGTTCCACAGCTGGTCCTGTTTTCTGTTGCACGGGCTCTTTTTCCATGCGAATGCCCATTGCACAAGACAGAAAAGTTTGTGGCACCACTTCTGTTACTGTGAAAGTTCTTTGTTGAGCACATTGCCCCCCACGCCGCATTCTCCCTCACCCATCCCAGGGTGCATGAGGCGCCATGCCAGGGGTCGCGGTCCATGTATCATAAAAATATATATTTCCCAGTGTGGTAAGTTAGAAGACTGATGGTGGCTGGAACAGAAGGAAAAAGCAATTTAAACATAATGCTTGTATAGCAGGAGAAATTGATTGACATAGTGTCATGAAAGGTTAGACACGGTGCTCTGTCAAGTTAGATAAAACCAAGTTTTGTGAAAGAATGTGTGTACTGGAGCCAAAACAGCCCCGTGGGGACAGGCATTGGCACCAATAGGTCTTCAATAAGTGGAATAATTGCTAACGGACCCAAATGTCTTCTCATTAGAGAAGTCTTGGATGGAACTTGGGAAGAGCGCAGTTCAGTCACGCAGGCACATAGTGCCTGGATGCCTGAGATGGAGCTTACATAGCTTCACAAAGTAGTGCCAGTGTTGGCACACCCCCTCCGCTGCTCCTGAGCCCCAGGGACTATCCTTACACACAAGCCTGCTTGCCCTGAGGTCCTTATGGCTGGTGGGCATTTACTTCATGGTGGGCAAGGCTGTTTGCAGCTTGGTCAAGCACAAAGTTATCTTCCAAGTCTCTGTCACCGACTGGTCCGCGCTGCCAGCCTCCATGAGGCTGTCAGCTTGTTTGTCTGTGTTGGATTTCCCAGATGTAGTGGGATGCTGGGTGAGATACATATCTGTGGTAGCTGATGTACAGATGCCCTATTCAGGAGAAGTGTTTTCTGATGCTGCAGAGTTGAATAACTAGACTTCAAGTGATGATTCACATTCACCGTGTTGAGCTTCCCCACCTGAGTGTGTTTAGCTGGTGTTTTCCAGCATTCTGGCTTTCCTCCCCACAGCTGGGCAAGCAACCTCTTGTCCCTGGGGATGTGGCTATCGATGGTGTTAGGGTATCCGGCTGCATCGCAGCCACGCCATCTGTACGGGCCCTGGTGACTGATCTCCAGTCAAGATGCAGATGGGGATTTCAGCTGGGCCTTGGACTCCTGCAGAGCAGATGTTACGGGAGTACTGAAGGCCAGGCTAGATGACAGTCATGTTACCTGCATCCCATTACATCTTCCCATTGTGAGAGGCCCCATCCCACTCTTTTGTTCAGTAGGTGCAGTGGGGTGGTGCCCCCTCTCCCTTTGACTGTTACACATTATTGCTTCAAGCAGCTGGACGTGGCTCACAGACTAGAAGAAAAAGACAGGGAGACCATTTCCTTAAGGACCAGCAGCACCATATCTGTAAAGGATTGAATTGTGGAGGCCCCATCTGATTATGGCAGTACTTTACTCCTACTTCCCTCCAGCTTTTATTTCTTTTTCCTCTCCTGTGATTCAAACATCACCTTTCCCATGAGCTTTTATTCTCCTGTTCTCTCACCATTCTTCATCTCCTCATCTTCCTCCCCTGCAGACCTGCTAGACAAGCCTAGGCAGGGGACTGAGGTCTCTCCAAATTGTGCATGAGACATTTCAAGCAAGAGGTTTTTTTCAATTTTTAAGCAGAATTTCCCTTTTATGAAGATACTGCCAATCTTTTTGCAGTCCTATCTCAAAGAAACATCTCTTCCAAAGAGGCTCTTCTGGTGCTGCATTATCCACACCTTGTGACTTCTCGTGCTGCCTTAAGCCTCTTACATACCTAAGCACAGCCTGTGCAGGTCCCCGTGGCAAGGTGCCCGTCCCAGCATGCAGATGTAATCTGCAACAGGAAAAGGAAGCAGCAGAAATTCACAGTGCTGACAGGCCGGCTAGCTTCACCTGTACAAACACTGCTATCTATGGGTATGTTTACAACTGAAAAATCAGAAAGACCCACACAAGGTGCAAAATAAAAGGCCTGAACACAAAACATAACGGTTGATGGAGGCACTAAAAATGACAGCGAACAAGGTTCAAGAGCCTGCAGGGGTCTATAATGTAAGAACCAGAGGAATTCTTCCCAGCAGATCCTGCCTCTTGTGACTTTGGCAAACTGGGTTACAGTGGCTGCTGCCTCACTTGTCTCTTTGGTTGCTCCTCACTCCATTGCACCGTTACCCTGTGATGGGCAAAGCTTCTGCTACTTGGAACAGACTTTGGATCAACCTCCAACCAGCTCCTACAGATTTTGTTCCCCTTTCCCGTCTTCCTGATTCAGGAAGTCCTGGTAGAAATGCCGCAAGCAGCCAGGGTGACCCTGCAGAAACCGGGCTCGATGTGAGACTCTGAAACTGCGCCTGCAACAGATGGCATGACCAGAGGGAGCATGGAGTGGCAGGGTTGTGCACGCTCAGCTGTGAATACCTGGCAAGAACAGAATCCCTCAGGAGGAGCAGGTGCACCACCTAACATTGCAATCGCACGGGCAGGGACTGTGTGCAGCTGTTACAAACTCATGCCTGCTTCTGTGCACATCCCGTGTAACTACTGCTGGTTCACAAAGAGCTAAAGTGTACATTTATCAGTGCTCTGCAACTGCCTTTCTATGTGGGATAGTGAGGCAGTTGTGCAAAGTTTCCCCTGCTCAAGGCAGTGTCTACCACCTCTGCTTGCCTCCTACCTGCTGCTGTATCAGTCACCTCAGCACAGCCTGTGAGCCTCCTCTCTTCTCCCTCCCACCACATGGGTACCCTCTTCTAGACCTTCAGCTGCATGCTGTTCCTAGGAAACACTCCTACCGACAAAATCAACTACGACCTTTGCAGATGTTTGCCAAAATCCCCCCAGATGCATACTAGAGAGGCTATTTCATGACCAAAAAGATGCGGGTTTTTGTTGTTTTTTTAAAGTAACTTCTAGACAGAGTCATGTGTACACTGCGGATTTTAAAGGACTGGCACGAAACAGAAGGCACATCAATCTCACTGTGCAGATGGGTCATCCGAGTCTGCCTCTTGAGTGGCATATTATTTACAGTTTAATAAAAGGTACCTCAGAAGAAAGGGATGCAGCTGAAGCAGAAGCAGCAGAAAATAATGAAAACTGAAAGAAGTGTCATCTGACTGTAAGATAGCCAAGGCTATGACAGATACAGGTCTTACTTTGATCCAAACAGAGGGGAAAAATGGCTCCAGATATTGAGGGCTCCTCCTTCCTTAATAAATCTGTGCCACTTTTGATAGCTGCTGTGAGCACATATTGCCGGGCATAGCTGCAGATCCTGGAAGCTGCAGAACGGCTTGCACACTGGCAGCTTATTAACTGGAACATCATCCCATAAAATAGCTGGCGACCAAAGTCACCACAAACCGACAGCCTCCAACTTGCTCAGGAGGGTATGCACTTCAGCTCCTCCTGTCTTTTCTAGGCAGACTTCTTTCCCCAGAGAACACCGTTAGCTTGAGGGAGACGGCATTGCTACTTATTTATATTTATTACTGATTTGTATGGCCCTCACATCCAAGAACCTGTCGGTGAACCTACAACAATACCGCGCCACTCAGAGGAGAAATACACCGTGTCTCAAGTGAGGGTTAGGCACTCATGAAACTGCAAGGATGTGTACAGCACAGACACCTGCTGTGAAGGGAATCAGATGAAATTTCCTCCGTATAATTCACAACACCTAAGGCAGACCTTGCTCACTGTGATCCATAAGTCACAAGAGAGGATGATGAGGTGCTGAAGGCTGACTGGCTCTGGTCCTTGCAGTTTGCTAGGTCATTACACCAACTATTCCTTCCCAAAGGTTTGCTACAGAGCTGAACAAGTAACATTTCTTCTCCATGCTTGTATATTTTGGCTGCTATTGCCCTACCATTAATCTGCCCAGACTGTGGCCTTATCTGTGTGATATTTTTGGATCATTTGCAAATTTTCAAACTCAATAAAAGGGAAAACTGAAGGGTCACAGAGATGGGACAGAGGCACTGTGCAGTGGAGGAGGGGACCACAGGGTTCCCCCATTCCTCAGAGGCAATCATGTGTAGTAAAATTTCTTGCAACTAATAGCTCTGTATAATAAATTGCAGTGGAAAGTCAGTCTTTGGAAGAGAACCTTAAATAATATTATTGCCAAAAACTTCACAACAAAGTCTTCCAACTTTCCAAAATATGATGGAAAATAGCCTCTTGGGTCAGCCAGTTCAACTGCAAAGCCCTTCCCGGGACTGCAACCATAAACACAGCAAGGCAGATTTGTTCCAGCAGAGGCTGCTGGGATCAGAAGCAGCCAAGAAAGACACAGAAGCAAACAGCTCTCACTTTACACCCGGCGCTGTCCGCGGAGGGGATGTGAACCACTACTGGGCACGGCTGCTATGGCCCAGGTGCAGCTCAACGCCTGGCTGGTGCTGTGTGTGTTCGCTGGATCCCAGAGGCTGACAGGTAGGAAGCGCACCTGGTCGTGGGGCAGCTCCTTGGCTTGGCAAATGTTTGTGCAATTCCCGTGGTGCTACGCTTTGCCTTCTTCTTCAGATGAAGTCAAACGCATCTGCTAGCTGTGCTGACGCAGGAAAGCGCATTAGCTGCAGTCCCAGCTGGGCTTTGTGCCCACCTACCTGCAGGATGGAGACCTGCTGCTGCTTCTGGTGGCGGGGGGGCTGTGCTGAAAAAGCCTGCTCCTGCAATGATGTGTGTGGGTTTTCTAGGTGCTTTTTTGGGAACAGAACAACTGTTGGATGATAAATAAGGGACTGTTTTTCCCATCTCCAAATTACATTTATGTTATTATTTCAGTACATTATTTGTTATGCTTTGGCTGATTTTTGTCTTACTGTACTTCAAAACCTAACGCTGCATAAATGTATAAGATGGTTATGAATAACAGCAGTTTGGTGGCTATTCAACAAATTGACTGACTGTGCAAGCCAGGCAGATGTCTTTCATTAGAGGTATCTGTGAATTTTGCGGATCAGTTAGCTGAGAGGAGAAGCCCAGGAAAGAAATTTTCGGATGGTGTAAAAGCTTTGCTGGCACATCCATGGAGGAAGAGGAAAAGCAGCTACAGCCCAGCTCACATTCCAAAGCCCCAGCTGGCTTACATTAGGGATCCTGCAGCTGTGCAGAGAAACAAAGCTCAGTCTGAAGGGACAGCAGATCTCCAGGCAGCTTGTACATCTATCACCCTGAAAAGCTTTAATCAAGAATGGAAAGTTGGAAGTGGGCTTTGGTAGCAGTCATCACACACATACAGTATTAAATCATTTTTCTACTATTTCTAAGCACCTGCTGACCTTAACTCTAGAGTGTTCAATGTATGTTCTCTCTCTTTTTAATATAGAAAAGCTTTATCTTTATAAAAATAATAAGAAAGAGGAGTGTCAGAGAGCTTACTATTTTATATCGGCTTTTGCATTTCATTTTCCTGACCCAGAGGAGCCATAGAAGAGGGTCTTGGCTCATGACTGTGCTAATCAGCATGAAGAAGGGAGGGGTTGCAGCATCCATCTTACAGTTCTGGACTGAGGATACATGCGTCTCCTTTTTTTCACAAAGAAAGAACAGATATGGGAAAAGGAAAGTTAAAGTATCAGAAGAATTAGTAAACAAAAAATAAAGGATTATTGGGATTAATGTAACTCACATTAATTCTTCTGGCCTAGTATTCATTTTTTCCCTGTTTAAATGAGGTTAGGTGGCCTGGCAAGAAATTAGCTGGACATGAGAACAGCCATGGATTTGACCGTGTTAGCCTCATAATCTGCATCTGCCAGTGGCAGATGCTCAGGGAACAAGGACAAAACCAGGGTGAGCACCAAGTAATATTTCCACCAATATTTCCAGGTTCTAAGAGCCTCCTGGCATCCTCTTTTGATCGGGCAGCATTTCTTTCTCCTAGCAAAAGCTACAAAACAACCTGTTGTCAAAACCCATCTGCTCAAACTCCTGCTGCACCCACCCCAGAGCAAGGGGCTCCTTGCAGCCTTCCAAGATAAATGCCTTTGCTGCTGCATGCTATAGCTCTGTGCTGGCAGGATTTGGGGTCATCATATCCAAAATTCATACTCGCCTCCCTTAACCACTTCTGCTTCTCTTGTGAAGCTTGTTTTGGTCATTGAAATCTTGTGATCAGCATCTGTCATATTTGGCAAGCTGTGAGTGACAGCTCTGAAATACCAAAGGCTTTATCGACAAGCAAATGACAGAAACAAGTGGGAAGGGCCGTGATCTTGTGGTGTCACACTCTGCCTGATGTCTTCCAGATGAACATCCTCGCAGCAGGGATGGTGCCAGCACCAACACACCCCGTCGCGGCCCAGAGGACGCCGACGTCATGTTAGAGGTCTCCGGGGCGTTGGGGGCCTCTGGGCAGAGGCGCTGTTAGCACCTGCGCTCCCACCTGCTTGCACGTAAAAACTCACCTGTTCTGCTCCTTCTCATCGCTGCCGTATTTCGGGAGCTGCTGGAAGATGCCTCAGGAGGGCGGGCTGGCAGGGGGAGAGGTGGGGGAGGCTGGACAAGGCCCTGCGGGGAAGCCAAGGCTTGCGGCCAAGGGTGTGGGGCCAGCAGAGACGGACACTGAGCAGGCGGCTTTGCGATGTTTGTGCTGCTCTTCTCTTCCAGATGCTCTGGGGGAGGCTGGACATTGAGGCCAATGGGACCATCCGGCTGCGGGACGAGGAGCTGGCCTCCCTGCGCCCAGCACGGCGGTTCATGCAGATCTTAGAGAGTGAAGTTCCCAAAACACCGATGGAGATCGAGCAGCTACTGAGATATTATTCACTGATCGATACCCCTTTGCCTCCAGGAGAGTATGACCGTCTGATTTTCACCAGTGTTTACTGTGCCTATCAGATTCGCTCCATTCAGGGTCTGGATAAAAATCTCTGGATCCATTTCTTCTCCCAGCTAGTTGATGAAATCTTTCGTGATCTGTGCAAGGGGCTCTGCCCTGCAAATTCCACTCTCCTTATGGCTTCCTGGCCCTGGAAGGAGAAACCTTCACATTTAGCATCGCTGAAACAGTTCTATCATTCTAACCTGGCCAGGACCAAGAGAGACACTTAAAAAGGGAAAGTGCCACGGGAAAGGACACATCTGACTTCAGCTGCGTCCTTGTTTGTTTTGAACGCTGGCAATCTTTCCTCAGTATTCAGGACTTTGTAGAAATATGCCACACCTTTTTGTACTGCTTTCTGCATTGTGCTGGCAACCCTCTAAGGATTTATACACAGGTTTTTAATTTTTTATATGAACCAGGACAAAACCAAAAAGTGCATCTCACCCTTTTCTCTCTCTCTCTCTCTTTTTTTAAGTGAGCTGAGCTGAAGTGGGCAGTGCTATTTAGATGTGTTATCTGTCTTGATCACTGATGCTTTCTAGGGAGATGTCCTGGCAGCTTTTTTCCAGGATGTTTCACTGGTGTCCTAGTTGAATTTGTCTTGAATAATTCAGTTCAGCCTCATATTCCTTCTGTGGTTTCAGCCAAATGCAGTCGTTTCTCCTCTCCAGTAATCAGCGAAGCAGATGCTGCCGTGTTTCACAATAGAGGTGGTGTGTTTAATTTCAGCTTTCTGGTTATGCAGCATCACATTTGATGTGTCCACAGTAATTTCCCACCTCACGTGTTCATTAAAGATCAACCTGAAAATGTCTGTATTCCAGGAAGCTTCCTAGTGCTCACATATCATATTTACGTATGTATACAGCTTTGTGTCAGCTATTCGTTTGGAATACACTTCTGTACGTCTCATTTAAATTCCTAAGGATCGCGACCTAGTTATTTCTTCAGCAGATTTTACCTCTTCTGAAGGTTTTTTTTTTTTTATACAACTATGGCACTTTAAAGACAAACATAACAAATACACAATCTCTATTCTTAAAATCAGAAATGTAATTATTTTATAGAAGTAGATCTTTAACCTTTTTTTTCTGTCTGACATGCTGCTGTCTGGACTTAAATAAATATAATTATCTGTACAGGAGGATTTTGATTTGTTGATGTTGTTTTTGTTTCTGCTGGGTTTTCTGCTGCCATTCTAGCTATACTAATTTTGAAAATTCATTGTGTGTGCTTAGATGGTGGGATCTGTAATTCTATCAATATACTCTTAATTTTCCATGCTGAAAAGGGGGGTATGTGACATTCAAAGTGGGAACTGCTAGCTTTTGACCTAGTTTATTTTTCTCCAAGCCACTGCTGCCCAACAGATGGAGAGGCAGTAATAAGAAGCCTGGAAGCAAGATGCCACAGAGAATGGGTTTAGAGGTAAGGTTAGGGCTACAAAAGGACACCACAGGACAGATTTATCTTTTTTTTTTTTTTTTTTTTTTTTTTTTTTTTTTCCTGAAGAATGTAGGGATGAAGATTAGCATGTCATTTGAAACAACTTCTAGTAAACTAGTGTCCCAGCATGTTCTTCCAGCCCTGTTTTTTGTTTTTGTTTTTAATATACGCCCTATCTCCACCCTTCATCCTTTTCCTCAGTCTTCAGTCTTTAACATCTAGTATACATATGGAGTGATGGAGTTAGGGAGTGGCTGCAAATACATCCAGTTTGAGCACAGAACATCACTGAAAGGCTGAGCTGGGATGTCACTAGTGCCTGAAAATATTGCCTTGCTGGAGAATATACAGCCTGAGCTCCAGAAGTCTCTGGATAAACATCGAGGGGGTTGGCTTGGTGACTCAGATACAAAGGCATTCTGTTGAATTCAGGATTCTGTTAGGGTCTGTTCGAGGGCTTTTCTGTCTGTCAAGCAAACTCTAAATTGCAGCCCAGTGATATCACAAAGTTCCATGCATGCTCAAGATTTGGCACTTGGGCAGTTTATGTATTTTGGGAGGCAAAACAGGGTGTAGCTGAGCATCTAGCTCAACGGAAACAGCACTAACCACACAGCGATAAAGCCTCCAGCCTCCTGGTTTCCTAACACCCAACTCTGGGGTCCTGCTGCCCGTCTCGGCTGCCCTGTAGGAACACACCAGTGCCCTCTACAGCCGCAGCAGTCCCACTGCAGCAGCACCACGGCTCGACGGAGTGCAGACTACGACAACCCGCGGCGACGCAGACAGAACCTGTCACTTGGTGGTGGTCCCTTTGATCCCGTCCGTGCTAGGTTAGCAATGTGGCATAAAGGTTATCCATAGCCTTGTATTCAAAGAGCTCATCTGTGGGGAAACTACTGCCACTGCATGGCATGATACTACTCACTTAAAAATCATGACTCAAATAATAGATTTAAAAACACTTTACTTACCTTGCTTCTGGGTGTCCAGAGGTTGGTCCATTTGTAGCTTTGAGCCCTTCTCCTTCTAGCGCCTACTATCCTAGTAGGCTAGAAGCATACTTTTTTTTTGTTTGTTTGTTTGTTTCTTTTTCCCAAATGAATTATTTTCATTAAATGGAAGCTGAGATTCTTAAACACTTGTCTTGCGTGTTCTTCTTGACTTCAGGAAGTTCAGATTAAGAAAAGCGACAAATATGATGGAACTTGCAATAAAGTCATAACAGGCACCAACGCTTCACACACACACAAGAGAAAAGTGTGTGCACAGCCCCAGTAACCATCTGGCTCAGTAACCCATACCGCAGCTCGTACAATCGCCACACTTCTTTCCCTCTTGAACTGGCACCTCAGGCCGTTAAAAGAACACAAGTCTCACAGCCACCAACAAATTCCAATCTGAGAAAACCGTACATATTTTGTATTTTTTATTACATTCAATTTCATTACATTTATTCCCTTAACAGATACGCAAGGAAAGTCACCACATCCTTTGCTTTCTGGATGCTAGGGATCTGCAGTAGCATCACTGCAGTGTTTCTCTGATCCTTGGCATTTCACTACATTGCCCCACCCCTGCCCCAAACTACCTCATGCTTTATGCTTAGATCAAACACCAACACTGGACACACACATACATCCTGTAAAGACCTTTCTATGGATGAACGACAGACACAGCAATGGCCCTGCAGTCAGGCACAAGCGCGCAGCATAAGGAAAGCACTGGACACATGATAGCATGCTCAAAGTAGAGGATGATATCCAAAGAGGAGCTATACACAAGTTCATGGCACCTTGGCTTTTCTTACGCTCCTTTCACATCTGCGTTTAATTTTCTGACCCTTGGAGTGAGCTGGCACCTGGGAGCCGCTTTGGCTGAGCCTCAGAATAGATCAGGAAGCCTGTGAAGGTGATGTACTTGCCATGGTTGCTGTAGGCACCGTAGCCATCATGCTGATGGCTGTAGAGCCAGACGGTGTCCCCGTATTGCAGAGGCAGCATGATACTCTGGCTCTGCATCTCCCGCCTCTTGGAGTGGTTGTCATCGTAGATCATGGCCTGCACCTCATTGTGGTTCTTCATAAGTTTCACTGACATGGTCTTAAAGGGCATTTTGCCAATGGTGAAGGAGAAATAGTATGCACCAGGTATGCGGCATGAGAAGATGCCAGTGGAGGAATTGAAATCTTTCCCAATATTCACAAACTCCGTGTCAAATGTGATTGGCTCATGCTGGGTTTGCTTGTCGTCTGTCCCCAGGAGGCTTTGTGAGCGAGCAACAGAAAACGCAGAGCGAGGGTCTTGCTCCCTCTTCGGCTGATCAGACAACACGTGTCGCTGGGAAGCTTCATTCTGCTCTCCTGGAAGCTGCTGAATATGGTGACGGGGAGGCCCCAGCTCTTGAGAGCTAAGAGCATTTTGGAAGAAGGCAGAAGTGTCTGGATAGATTAGGTAGCCATTGAAAGTTGTATAGGGGCCCACGTTGCTGTAAAGAGCGTACTTGGGGTCTCCGTGTAAACGCAGCCAGACTGTGTCACCATAGTCAAGCTGCAGCATGGCACTCTGGCTGGCTACCTTCCGTTCCTTGCGGTGATGTTCATCATACACAATCACTTGCACCTCATTCTTGTTTCTCATCAGCATGACAGACAAGTTTTTCTTTGGGTATTTCCCAACTGTGAAGGAGAAGTAGTAGGCTCCAGGGATCCGACACCGGAACAACCCCGTTTTGGGATCAAAGTCATTGCCAATGTTCACATACACTTTGTCAAAGGTAATGACCATCTCAGAGCTCCCTTCCATGCTGCTGGTTCGGGCCACTGAGAAAGCAGAGCGAAATTCAGTATTGCTGTCTACTGGGAAGCCATCTGCATGCATTAAAATCATGCACCAGAGGAAGCCAATCAGAATCTGAACCTTCAGAGTCATCATTGTATCTGAAAAGAAAAAGAAGCACATTTTAGCAGGAATTCCATTAATTTCCAGCTCATGCTCCAGCTGAGACCCAGACCTGAATCCTGCTAAATAGACAGCAAAGTCTAAGGAAAATATTGAGAAGTTCTCACGGCATTCTCTGACCAGTGTATGGGACTGTATCTCAGTTCATATTCCAGAACCATTTTGATATTTTCCCAGTGACAGCTGGACCTTATTTCCCTGTACTTCTAGGAAGCAAAAACAATCTTCTTCTCTGAAAGCCTCACTATCCTCTAGTTTGTCTGCAGAACACTGTGCTGCTCACACTGCAGAGGGATCTCAGAGCTTTCTGGGGCTTTGCCAGAGCTCTCTTTTGCAGTGGTTTTGTTCGTAAGACCAAGGATGAAACAAAGCTCTACACAGGCCTTGTATTATGTAACTGAGATCCAGCTGAAGGGCAGGGAGATGAGGACATATGCTCTCGAGATTCCCATGCAGATGTCATTGCCTGGCACTGCAGCAGCTGTTTCACAGGATGCAGAAACTGGAAGCCAAGTAAGTTGGTAGGCCCCATTACTCAGACAGCCTTCACTGTGGAGCTGTGAGGAATGTAAAGAAACCAAAGGAAGAAGGATTGTTTAGGGAGGAAGACAATGGAGAAAATGAATGAAATGGAAAAAAAAAAAAGAAGGAAAATAAAAGATAATTAAAAGGCAAGTCTCGCTGAGAGAGGGTTCTCTCTGAGAGAGCACTGACAACACCAGAAACAAGGAAACAACTCACTATGTAGAGAATAGACTGCAGAGAAAAAACTTCTCTGACCCTTAAAAAAGAGGGATAAGTTAGGAGCTAATGGGATTTTCTGCCTCTATTTTCTTTGATTTTTTTTTTTGGACTGAGGCCAAAAATCATCTATTAGTGCTTTCAGGCTGAAAACAAAACTGCCAGTCATTCCAGTGAGAAGCTTCTCCCTCTGTCACGTCTCTGTGCTTATTAAAATATCATTCAGGCTGGGAAGCAACTGCCTGCTTTGCAGTCTGCCCCATCTGTCACCCCAGAACTGGTGCCTTGCCAGCCAGCAAACAATGAATTCACAGACTGGCAGAACAGGAGCAAAACACGCTACTCATTGCGGGAGGGGTGAAAGTAAATCCTGAATTAAAAATGATATAGGGGTAAACATTTGAAAAAAAATGGGGGATGACAGTAATAGAAGTAAAGCAGATGGAATCCTCATAGACTGTGAGGAGGTAATGGGATCCCACTGTGGCATGATGCGATACCTGCAATAACCAGCCAACAAGAATTCAGTTTGACCCACAGTCCCTGCTCCCTCACACTTGAGAATAAAACTGAAATCTGAAATGCAGCTCTAATAGCTCTGAAGGCAGCAACAAATTAAATTCTCACCTAATTATCAAAAGGGGCACACTAACAAAGACAAGAAGAAATATCCCTCCATGTCCCAATTTTACATTAGATCACTCCTCACAAGCATCTCTGTATTTTCCTCCATGCCTCTGAACTCAGAAAACTTTGCCCAGCTTTAACTGCTTTGACTCCTGAGCATGCCACACACCCTTGGGATCCCATGGGCTGCACCGATGAGTGTTGAGAGAGATGACTGATATATCGAGGTCACTCTGAATGTTCATGGAGATGAAAGGAGATCCCTGGTGACTGGAGAAAGGCAAATGTTGCACCCATCTTCACAAAGGGCAAGAAAGATAACGTGAGGAACTACAAGCGGCTGAATATGAGCCAGCAGTGTGCTCAGGTGGCC